ACTGTTGTAAGTCTGTCGATATTGGAGCTTATTTCAGTTTTTCCGCAATGTGTAAAAGTTCATTCAAAAATTGCAAGAAAACAAATAGGATATGAACATAAAACTGCAAAATAATTGTTGGAGCTAATTCATTCGATTTATTAAAGGTTAATATTAACTTCAAATGAATCAACTGTAGTAACGCAGGACTTAAATTGCTGCTATATGATCGAGTAAAGACTGTGAAAATTCATTGCAAGTACAGAGAGTGTGTAGCTGAGACTGTACGCAAATTACGTGAAACTTTCGGTAGAAGGAGCGAATCGAATAAAACAACTGTAAACTTTGAACAAATGGGTTCAGTTGCAGAAAATTAAAAAACAGGACTGCGTCGCGTCGTACTGACCGTTTTGCCGAAAATATTGCTGCAGTTCAGCTAACACAAGAATTGAAACCAGACTACCATTTAATGCAGCGGGCATTCACTGACTGGATGTTGGAGAATCAACAAATGGACGGTGATTTTGTTGAGAAATTCACCTTTAGCGAGTATGCTAAAAGAGAGCGGAGGACATTTGCCCGATATCCTCCTTTATATTAAATGTCAATGTCTACCCTTTAAAAACATGTAAAAACTTTGCCAACTTATTAATTAATTAATAAATTATTTTTTCCTCATATCCTGCGTTTCTTTTGGGACACCCTATAGAATAAATTAACTTAAAATACTCATTAATTAAAATAAATGAATAAGAAACTGAATATATTTTTTTTCTCATAGAACTCTGATTTCTTATTACCTATAACCTTATTTCTATATAACTGTTTTAAATGACATTTAGTGTTATATATTTGAAAACTGTTGCAAATATATTTTAACTTACTAATAATGATAATACTTCCTCAATATTGATGAACAGATTAATGACAGAATAAATCTAAAGTAAATGAATACCCTACATTAATGAGGGCTGACTACAAAATAAGCCTTATACCTGATACTCCTACCTACCTGTGAATGGTATCATATAAAATATAAATAATTATATAGACTATTATTTCAATACCTGTAATTCTAATAAGTTCACTATTCATAAAAATATGTAATTAAAATTTACCACAATATTTATCATACACCTACACCCAATTTTGTTTTATTGAAATCACATGTGTAACATAAAACATATATTCGTTTCCTCATTTGATATATCAAAACAATGATCTACTAATGGATAAATTAGGTACGTACGTACTTACAGTAGGTTAAGATATTCAAGAAAGAAGGACTAAAGCTTTAAGTTTAAATAATCATCACCCTCGTTAGTTCACAACAACTGTTATTATCCTCTTAATTTAGCAGACCATTTGGAAATTCCTTTTTACCTTCTATGCCATTTTAAATTTTCTGAGTACCCTCATTTCCAAAGCAGACTTACCAAGATGAGTATTCCTAAATTTTTCAGAAAATAAAAAATAAAAGGTATTATTCTAGATGGTGTGTGTATATCAATGAAAATGATTTTAGCATTTGATTAAAAATTTTGATTGACATTCTTATACCACATTAGTTATTAGCATTACTTATATCTTATAAAAGTAATATTGCATATGAATTTTAATATTTGTTCAGTAGGAATTTACATTTTAAGTAAATTATACAGTAATATTTAAATTTATCTGAGTTGGATCAATTTACCTCAATAGTAATGTGATTTCTTAAAAAATTACGGACCTTCAAAGAAAAATGTTTTATTGCATTTCAATTTAATGTTTTGGGATATCCGGCAATGAACGGAGGCTTCTTATTACCTAACTAAATAATAATAAATTAAGATGTATTTACAATGAGATTTCTCGTTCTCTTAGGTAGCTATAGATAACACCGACATGATATGGTTAATTTTATTAAAAATTTATGTTTATTTAAAGTTTACACCATACTAAACAGATGTAAGCAAGTATATTTTGATATTCAGAAATTCATTTGAAACTCATTCTTGTAATTTTATTTTTTGTTGAACAAAAGAATGCTTATATTCTATGGAAAAATTGTATTTTAGTTCTGCCAGGGAAAGTTATGAAGCCATTGGTTATGTTCAAGAGAGCTTTGTTCTTTTTTAAACTAGAGAAGTATTTTTTCTTGACAGACTATTTTTAAACATTATAATTTCTTGTTCAATTTATAATGTTTCATAAGAAACTAGCCGGTCTTGAAACGTTCTTAAGGACTGTTTTGATGTAGTCTATCAAATTCAGAATATGTATATTATATCATCCTAACTTTAATTTTTTGTTTGTTATATGTATATAACCTACTCATCGACATTATTCTTCCAGTTCTAGGAACTAAGAACTGAATTAATAATATCAGATATCGAAAAACACACATTATAAAATATTATTATCTGCACCAAACCTTTTTCGGTCTTTGATAAATACAGATTTGCCTATGATTTTTGGGACGTTTTCAAACAAAATAAAATTTTGCTGAGGTCTGACCGATTAAATAAAAATAAAACGAAACGCTTACAATTTTGGGTCACTTATTTCTAAACTTTAATTTTTGCGAGCATATACAGGGTGTTTTTAAATAACTGCGAAATATTTTAGGGAGTGGTTGCCGAAGTTATTTTATGAAAAAAGTCCATATAAACGAAATATGCTTCGTTTCCGAGTAGTGATGTAAATGGTAAAATGACAAATTGTTACTTACATAAATTACTGTACAATTACCGTAATATTACGCACCGCGAGATAACGGTTGTAATTTATGTAATTTTTGTAACTTACGTAAATTACGTAATTTACTATAATTAAAGTTAATTTACACTTAATTTTAAATATCGCGCCAATTTCAATTTTGACATTTAATTTTTTATAACTATTCTTTTATTTTAGCAATATTAGCATTCATTCTGAAGAGTATGGTGATAGTGAGGATGAGGACCAGGATTATACAAGTTCTAATAGCTGATTTACATTGACAATTTATCCATGAATAAATTAACGAAGTTCTTTATGAATTAATTCACGATTTTATTGGTAAACAGTGTGGTTTTACACTGCTACAGACTTTGTCAAGTTTTTTGACGCATAAATCAGTTTTACCAACAAATCAAAGAAGCAAATAAATTTCAAAAATGTCACCTTTCCACTCATAATTGTAGTGACACAACAGCGGTACCGTTTTGACACATATCATGTAAACATTAGTTTTTGTAAGTAACAAATCAGTAAAAACAATGTAAAACTAGTACGACGCCACACAATTATTTACATATTCCAATAACATAACCTCATTACTGATCTTAGGCAGGAAATCTGTTGGGTTGGTACTTCTGAACTTCACAAAGAAATTGACGAAAATTAGAGCATGTTCTAATTCGTCAAGAACTTGATGAATAAATTCATGACGTTATTTGACAGTAGACAAGAAATTCGACAAGTGTAATGCCCCAAGCATTACACTTGTCCAATTTCTTGATGAAGCGACTTCATGAATTCATTCGTCAATAAATTGTCAATGTAAAACAGCTATTTCCGAGATACACAGTGTTTAAATTTTAATTTTTTATTTATTTTTATTAATTATTTCAAAGAGTTAAGGACATTGACTCAAAATTAGATGGTTGTATTTTATTTAGAAATATTGACAGCATTGAAATTAAAAATACACAACTTGCAATAAAATATGTTTTATATTTTTCCTCAAAAACGCTGCGTCCTACGAAAAAAATTGAAGACCAATTTCATTCAGAATTGGTGGCAGATTTCTAAAAAAATATCAAAATGGGATAATGTCAGTGGCGCACCATTTCCTTTTATTAAAAAAGTTTGTGGCATTCTCGCACGTGCCAATGGTGCAAGTAGAAATATTCGGATCACCCCAAAAAATGCACATTTATCCCTCCAATGCGTTTTTCAAATTTCCAGTCAATATATTTGAAATAATTAATAAAAATAAATAGAAAATTAAAATTTAAACACTCTGGATCTCGGAAACGAAGCATATTTCTATACTTTTTTCACAAAATAACTTCAGCAACCGCTCCCTAAAATATTTCCCACTTATTTACAAATACCCTGTAAGTATGTAGAAATGTCACAAATAAAATGAAATGATCCTTAAAACTAGGTACATATTTAAAACTGTTTTGTCAAGAAGAAGTACCTCAGGGGGTACATTTTCTGGTTAATTTATTTATTTTTGTATAACAAACAAAATACCATTTTTGCACCATTTCACTATAACAGAAATACAGATAAAAATGATAAATGGATACTAAAACAAAGTCAAAGAACTTAACCTATAAAAAAGTGAAGTCACACGCGCTAGTCACACGCGTTAATCTCACTTCATGTACCGTTTGCTAGTCTCGAAATATCTTAAAAAGTGGATTTTCTAAAAATTACGAAATAGAAGAATGAGATCTTGTAACTTTTTTTAGAAGGTAAAAAATAAAAAATGTAGATAACTTAATCCAAATTAAATTTTGAAGTATAGGTCATTCACTTCCGGGCACCCTGTATAATTTATCGCTGTGCTGTTACTGATAATATTGACAGTTTTTAATTTATCTGTGCCATCCAATTATGTCACATAAACCAAGTTTCTATCACGTAGTACTCAATTAACGATATTAAAGTATACCTAATGTTTCTTTAAGGTAAAATCATTTACCTAGCAAATATAATTAAGTCTATTTTATAATTATTTTAATTATATTTCGTTCAAATTTTGTAACTATGAGTACAATGTTTATAACATTACACAAGTTTTATTGCGGGACTACTCAGCATTATACAAATTTTTGATTTATTGTTTCTCAATAAAATTATAAAATGGGTGGTGATATAGCGTATCACATGAATTTTTATCAAATACAAACAAAATAGCCTACGACGGCATTTATCAATCTAAAGACTTAATAGATAAATAAAGATAAAGATATCATGTCAAATTACATTGCTCGTTTTGTTTATAGGCATTCTCAAGTGAAACTTGGTAAAGTGTGTTCAAGGGGATTCTTCGACAGATTATCCCTAATCCCACTTAAATCAATTATACACCGACATCCCGAGTGTGCATAAGGCCCACGCAGACTAGAAGATTACTCGAAATGCGGATATATAAAACCGACGGTACATTTGTAGAAAATCAAAGGGACACTGAGTTCGGATGGAATCTTAACGAAGTTGTGGTAAATGAAAACGTCAAAGAAGTAAATGAAAATCATTCTCATGGCAAGGAAGTAAATATAAGGAACAACCCGAAATCCCATTTAGTCCAGTTACAAAAGGAAGCCGCTTTCATGGAATCTGTGGACATAGTGGAACCAGAAAAACCAATAGTGGTGAAACACGTTCAAGTAAATATCAAAACAGAGCCTATAGTGAACGTTATCAATTGTAAGATGGACATTGAGGGTCCTCCAATAAAGAAAAACAATTCGAAGCTAGCCAGTGAGTTAAAAAATGTACAATTCACTGTACCTTCGAAAGAGGAACTAGCAAAATTAATAAACCCATGCAATATCGAAACTAAAGCTCTAATGTCCATCATATACTTCGCAAAATATAAATCATTAATCAAAGAAGAGACCTCTGCGGAATTATTCAAAACAGTCAACTTTAAAACCACTAATTACAAATACTTAATTAAAGACAAACAGGAAAATATAAAGGAAGAGATACTGAAAGACATCCATCACTACTATGCTACGAACGAGGAAAACATGTTATCTCTGATGATGGAACTAATTTTGGCCGATATAGGCTGTAATCTAGAAGACATCGTTGACATAGATAACAACATTAATAAAGCCAATGATTCACAAACTAGCGATCGGAGCAATGGCATTACAAGTACTTTTTTCAATAGAGAATTGAGTCCCTTTGGAAACAGTGACTCCAATGTGTCCGACAGATGCAGCATTTTAAGCAGTATTGGCCTCGATGACGAGCAGAAGAGCCTGCAGAGCTTATGCGAAGAGACATTGGAAATGCGTTTACAAACAGCTGAGATCAAAGAAAGCTTTCAGGTAAGTGTTCATCCGAATCTTAATGCAAATGTGCGTCACTTTTTAAATCTTTTATCAGGCATACAAATTTAAGTATAAACGATTCAAGTAATCATTATTAAGTCCGATTCTAACTAAAATACGTTGAAATATATTGAATGCACACCGACTTATTTGTTTTAGCTCTATTTTATTTATACTCGGATATAATACTCTTACCTCAAATGTGATAAAGCAGCATAGATTGTGGGCTAATTTTCGAGAAATTAATAATGGTGCAAACTCATCCTGGAAACCATGTTTGTTTTGAAATCCTTCAACGTTTAAAGGGATTTGTAATATGCATTCCTCTCTCAATACAAATGATTATGATTAATCCTAGAAACAGCCTTTAAATACACAGGGTGTAATAGTGATTGCGACAACTTTTTGGATTGATTCCTCTTAAAACAAACAAAAAAACAATGGTAATATTTTTTCCTAAAAGGATTCCTAAGGGCTGGCTACGTTCAACGATTGAATGTAACCCTCAGTTGTTGGTATAATTACTCAACAACCTTTAAAACATCGACATTAAACACTATAAAGTGTTGGAAATTGAGGAGCATAGATAAAAGCCAAAAACTATCATGCAACACTGTCCGAAGGTTAATTCTTATTGCATTCATATTTTATAGAATTTTTTTCATCCATTTTAGAATATTTTCTTATACGGGGTGTCTCACACTTAGGTGTAAAAAATTTAATTACAGCTTTTCCTGATCGGGACAAAAATACAATTATTAAGAAATTGAGGAGCATAGATAAAAGCCAAAAACTATAATGCAACACTCTCCGAAGGTTAATTCTTATTGCGTTCATATTTTATAGAATTTTTTTCATCCATTTTAGATTATTTTCTTATACGGGGTGTCTCACAATTAGGTGTAAAAAATTTAATTACAGCTTCTCCTGATCGGGACAAAACAATTAAACGAATACGAGGTCTTTTGAGAAAATAAGCGACTAACATGCTTTCTTGGGGCGTGGAGATTCTTTGACAATCCATTGAACTTTTGTCTCAATGTCGTGACCGTAAACCCAGCTTTCGTCTCTCGTTATGATCCTTTGAATGAATGTTTCATCATCATTGGATTGTTCAAGCAATTGCCGACAAACGTCCAAATGATTTTCTTTCTGCTGTTCGGCCATCAAACGAGAAACAAATTTTGTTCCAACTCGATGCATGTTCAATTTTTCAGTCAATATTTCATGCACGACCCAATTGAGATGCTAACCTCTTCTGCAATATCTTTAACAGTCAATTGGAGGTTTGCACGCACCAGATCTTTGACTTTCTGAACGTGGAAGTCAACAGTTGCAGTCGAAGGCCTTCTTGGTCGAGGATCATCTTCAACTGACTGACTACTACTTTTAAATCGTGAAAACCATTCCTACGACCCAGAAGATCATCTCCGTAAGCTTGGTTCAGAAGTTGAAACATTTCCGTTAAAGTTTTCTCCAGTTTCACGCAAAATTTTACATTGCACAGTTGTTACAGAAAATAGCACATTTCAAAAATCGTGACTAAGACTTAAACACGTTGCACTCAAATAACAATACCATGAAAACTAAATGAGACATCAACAATCCAAGAACATGTGTTTACAAAGAAGGTTACGCGCAACGCAATGCTGCCAACTGCATATCACTAAATATCTCCATTAACGCATGGTTAAAAAAGTTCGGTTATTTTATGAACAGACCACGTATGCTTCCAAATTGCTTCCTTAAAAGGTTTCCAAAGAAGTATTTTTATACATTTTTTTACGATGACTCTTATAACCGCAAATGAACATAAGCAAAAAATTAACCAATATCTCGGTTTTACAACAAATTAGCAATTTAGAAAAAATATGTTACCTATTTTTTAATACTCATCCTATGCCTTTGATTAAGATATTGTCCATAATTATTTACTTGAGGCACTTTTTATTACTTTCTTTGCTTAATTTGATATTTCCGCTACTCAGAAATAAATATATAAAACAAATTCTTTCGTTAACCCTTTTCAATGTAAGAGATTATTTATTTAAAAATTCGTTTTCTTTTCAGTATGGCAGAAATATCCAATTATATATAAAAAGCAACAGGAAACTCTGGTACACGGAATATTGAGACACCCTGTATAATATAAATTATATAGATTAATTATACGTTTTTAGACAATCTCAAGAAACTTAAATTACTATTGCAAGAATTTTCACCCATTCTGAATTTTATAGAAAGCTTGCTTACGATTAAGGCTTATCTGATTTAGTTATAGTAGGATCACATTCGATGCAAAGTAATAAATCATAGCCTGTCAAGGGATCCATTGTAGTACGGTTTTAAGGGGTTTATAAATTGATTAATTTCTTTATGCATTATGGATTAATAGTTATATATTTATGAAGGACAAAATGAAAAACAAAGNTCAGGAAGAAGAAAACCGAGTAAATCAATTAATCAAAATAACCGCCGCACTGAGGGAAGAAATGAGGGAAGCTCTCTACCTAGATGATATTTTACATTTGTTAGAAGGCAACTTAGAAAAAGTGAAGCTAGAGTTACCATTTAAAATATTCTACAAAGAAGAAAGCAGCCAATTAAATTTAATAGTCTAACGTTAGGTTGTACATAAAAATAAATGTTAAAATTTCCAGTATGGAGACTATTGGATCAATATTCGTTTACATAGCAACTTAAGTTTATCGAATAGCTGAATGTCCTGTCAAAATGGCTAAAAAGGGCCAAGTTCAGTTGCAGACTGAAGTAACGAATGAGGATGAATGGGAGAAACTTTTACAGAAAGAAGGGCTCATCCGTAAGTTGATTTAAAATTTTATTTAATTATTTATAACAAGATTTAGTACAAAGTGTAAAGCAGAAAGTATTTGGCCTCATATGTCAACAACTGTCTGGTTAAAATTATCATCAATCTGTTAAGACATTGTGCTGTTAATTTTTAATAATGACAGAGTTAAAAATAGAAATATTAATTTGGATTTGTAAATAACCTAGAGAATACATGCGAGAATAATTATTTACCCTATTAAATTCGAAGACGTAAGACATTGTACATAAGTTTTCGACAATTTGGTCTCTTAACGCAAATATACAGGGTGTCCCTGAAAAGGATGGACAACCCCAGGTTCCTTGGATGAAAATAAGACTATTTAGCCTAACTTACCTATATACAAGAGTGCACGCCTACTGATATATAACCTTCTAAATATAAAATAGATAACCTAATTTTTTTCAAATAATTTGAAAACCGTTTTTCTTAGTAACTTCAAATTTGGTACACATATTTTTTTATATAAGCGCAATGTAAATATAAAATTTGGTGAGAATACAAATACAGGATGTTCTCTTTCTAATGCCTGTGTGCCACTAGCAATCCCGAAACTTTTTTGTGTGTATGCCAATGACGCCAGAATTTGTATTTTTAAAAATAAGCACTATTTTAGAAAATGTTTTGCCTCTTACAAAATGTTTGATATCGTTTATAGATTTCGAGTAAAATTGGCAACCTCAAAGCAGGGAATAATAATGAAAAAACTTCACATTAAAAAAACACAATTAACTACACATTTTTAGTCTTAGTATTATCAATCAATACAATAAAAAATCGACAGTATTTTAAATAAACAATATCAACTAATAATATAAGAAAGTCAACATAAAAACTTTAAATAAATCTAAATTGATTTTTGTAATCACATTAAAATAATATTATAGTAAATGCTCAAAGTGACTTCCTTGTTCTTGAACGCAAGCATTAATTCTTTTTAGGAAATTAAAATTAATTTTATCGATTACCTACCTCTCATAACATTAATTTCATTTTGTATTCTTTCCCATAATTCGTTTTCTGTATTTACTGAAACGCTATCAACTGTAGTCCTCAACACTCCCCAAAGGAAGTTACATGAGTTTAGGTCCAGGGATCGAGGTGGCCATTTTAAAGGGACATTATTTCCCTGTTAGGATAGTGCTCATCTAGGTATTGCCTTACCGATAAGGCAAAATGGGTAGTGCCCCTTCATGCATGAAAACAGTATTCATTCGTAGCGTTATCGGTAACTCCTCAGACAGATAGGTTCAATGTAGCAGGTAATATAACAGGACCAATTAAAATATGTACTACCAATAATACTAGCGTAAATGTTAATCATTAATTCATGTTGAAATCGTCTTTTACTGATTCCATATGGATTTTCATCACAACAAACAAGTTTATTATGTGAATTAAAAATACCCCTTCTAGTAAAAGCAGTTTCGTCTGTAAATAGGATTTTCTTGTGAATATTATCGTCTCTATTTCTGAGTTCCTGAATACTTTGACTGAAAGCAAAACGTGACGGAGGATCTATTGGTAGGTAAAAGTTCTTGAACTTGATTCTTGAGTCTTTTAATTAATTAACAGAACTTTTTGAAAGCCAACCTCTGCCGCTAAACGTCTTGTACTTCCTTGCAGAAATTTTTCGACCCTTTCCAAAATTTGTTCCTCCAGCTGAATAGTTCTAGTCGAATGTTGTCCACGATTTAATGTTACAGGTAAAAAGACGGTATGTTTGCCGAAGGTGTCTCTCCACTTTAGCAAATGTTTAGTGATTTGGAATTCTTCGATTAGGAAATCTTTCCTAATTTCCTTCACAATAACCCAAATCTAGTAACTTATCAGTTTGTTCAGCAAAAGTATAAATTGCAACCATAGTAAAGAAGATATTAAAAAACAAAGTAAACCAAAATTAAATGACACCTAACTTGATACTGAAGCTTTTAATTATTGTTATGAATTTGTTTCTTTGTTATGTGACACCATACTAGACTGATCCAATTATTTTAAACTGATTTTATATTATTTAATGTGTAAAGAATGCTAATTTTACTCGAAATCCATAAACGATATCAAAATTTTGTAAGAGGCAAAAAATATTCTAAAATAGTGCTTATTTTTTAAAATATAAATTCTGTCGTTACTGGCATACACACAAAAAAGCGGACAGGTACTAGAAAGAGATATATAAATTCTCACTAAATTCTATATTTACATTGCCCTTATATAAAAAATATGTGTACGAAATTTGAAGTTTCTAATAAAAACAGTTTTCAAATTAATTGAAAAAAACTAGGTTATCTGTTCTATATTTAGAAGGTTATATCTCAGTAGGCGTGCACTTTTTTATATAGGTAAGTTAGGTTAAATAGTCTTATTTTCATCCAAGGAACCTGTGGTCAAGCGTTATCCCTCGTTTTCAGGGACACCTTGTATATTGTTAATTTGACATATATTTTCAAAACAAATGTAACAATAAGTTATCTGTATCCACATATAATCAACTGGGTCAAAATTTATAAGGGTCTATTCTTAAATTTTCCTTTAAAATTTAAAGGCCTCTCAAAAGGTATGATTTTAACGGCCCTTTAAAAATAATCTGAGGAATGTATTCTGTATGCTTATGTTATAAAGACCCTTTAAAATGAACTATTTTTAAAGGAATCCTTTAAATGTTATCCCAAAATATTTGGCAACGTTTATTCGAACTACTACGCTAACAGTAGTTCCACAGACCTGTTGACATTTTGATATACAGATTGACCTAACCTATAAAACTAGTTATTGTTACTAGTTTAGTTAACTGTTGAATACTAATAATTGTCATTTCTGACTGTTCTAAAATGTCTCGGGCACCCAGAACTACAAAAAAATTATGAACAATTTTCTAGAAGAAAATAAAATGCTAACTTCCCACTTAAATAAAATAGGGCCAGAAAACAGTTATACTCCGCGGTAGAAATTATAGAGAGTGACTCATCGCTAGCTTTTGGACTAGTAAGGGGGATGAAGTGTGCCGGGAACGAAAATCCATTGGCGTGTCCGCGTAAAAGGCAACAAGATATAGAAAATATTGAAAAAATATAATAAAACATAACATCTAATATTTTTTACGGTTTGCTATAACCGGCACTTTGATCCATTTTAATTATTACAGCATTTTAAAACGTCCCAGTTGTGTTTTTTTAATTTATAAATTTATTATAGCCATGGAATTAGACCCCTCGTCTACGCTTATGCTATGACGTTTCTCAGGACGGGTAAATCAAGTCCGTTTACACCCACTAAAAAAGCATTTCCCTATTCCCTACCAAGTGCAAAAGACAGAGATACAATATAGATCGACGTTCAGTGTAACTCAGTCTATAGACGATTATAGATTCTATCGATGTGCGTAGCAAGCGGCACAAAGATAAATAATATTGAACCGTATAAAAATCATTTTATATTTTATACGCATTATGGTAATAGTGTTTTTATATTATGTCTGAATCACTCTCTATAATTTTGACCGCGGAGTATAGGCAGTGGAAAGAAGTAAGTATTTCCTATTAATTTTAATAATCATGTTCGCTATAAATATTTTCCCTGACCGCAACCTAACTGATAGCTCCAACTTGCAAAAAAATTTAGATATGCAAGAATTTTTAAATGTACTGGGTATAGCAGTATTTCTATGCCCTTGAATCATGTGTTCACTTACCACTCAATTATAATTTTTGCAACTTCTTTGTTAAAGCGGAAAATACTTTTAAACAATCTATTAGGTAAATGAAAGGGAATATTCACGTCCCTAATAATTTTCTGTTGTAATCTGAGTTGAGCCCTAAAATTAAATAATTAAGTATTTATTACCTAATTATAAAATTTTAAATAAATGTATGCTTTAACTCTCTTCATTTTCCTCAACTAAATGTCACCAAAAATATTGTAAAATGCAATTTTTCAATTTAAATGTCAACTTTGAACATACTTTCAAAAATTACTTTTTAAAGGAAAATTTTAAAGGAATCCTTTAAAAAATTTTAGCAGAAAAAAAAAGAGAATACGAACATAATTTTAACAACACTTAAAATTTTAAGGCCCTTTAAATTTTAAAGGAATCTTAAAGAATTATGTTAAAAGTAAAATGTATTTTCAAATATTTTGTATACTTACCCACATAAAAAACTTATTGTAATTATGGAATTTTAAAATAAATATTTTTTAATGTACCAACCTCTTCTATTCAACATCGTTGTTAGCTAAAATCTGAATGAGGTTGCGTTTATAGTTTCTTTTTGATTTTGTATAAAATCGTGTATTTTCATACCTTCCCTAATACCTGTATAATCCTTTTTATAGTTTTTAATTGGTAAATAATTCTTAAATTCTCACTCTGGTGTACGTGATAAGATTATTAAACAAAATATAATTAAAGTAACTTATGAGGTCAGTTGGCTCAAATTCACAAATTACTGTACATAGCAAACAGAAATAACTGGTTCCGGCAAAAAATAATGTACTTATTCCTAAGAAAAATACTGACAGTGTAGTAAAAATTTGTCACAGATACAGAGAAAAAAATCTGAAAATGTAAAGTACTGAAAATGTGAAAGTATTCCATGAAAAATATACCAGATATTTTTAATAAATAAACCACAAAGTAATGTTAATAAACAAATACCTACATATCAAATATTTATTTTTAATAGTCCAATATTTTTATACATGTGACTTAAATTGCAAATTTTGTATTATACTTCTGTAAAAAAATTATACTAATAAACAAATATGAATAAAACTTGGTGTTTATTTAAATACTAATAATTAATTTGGAAATCCCTTACTTAACTAAAAAACAATATAAAGATGTTGCTACTTGCAACTTGTTACAATTCGTAAATTTTTATCTATTGTTCCAACTCTCCTATATTTATACAAGTGAGATCATCACTAATTAATGGTGGAAGCCTAGCCCCTTATTTTCCGGAATACTTACAGATAAACATAATACATGCATTGTGATTCTGAATCTAAAAACAAGATATGTTTTTTATATTGATAATTTCGATATCGTTATTTCAATGTTTTCCTGGTAGGTTATCACAAAATTAATTGTGACAACTTTTAAATAGTAACTATAAGGCCAATTGTAGAGTAGTTAAAATGAAAAAAAAAAAACAACAGCTAAAAAGTAATTTTAACAAATTTTATACCTATGGAAAAAATGAAATGAACTTTATAAAAGTGATTAGTATCTACACAAAATATAATTCTGCTCTTTGATATTTCAACTTCTCTTTCAACAGGATGCATTTGTGAAAAAGTACAAATGGTGCCTTGATAATCTTAAGCCTAAAATATGATAATTGTACTAAATATAGCTTAATCCGTAGTCGCTTCATTTACAAATTACAGGATTTATTTTAAAAAACAATTCAAAAATATCTCGTAAGTTCATTTGGTTCCCAATTGTATTTAATGAAAAAATGTCACTCAACATAAACATTAATAGAGTTTTAATTATTTTAATTTATTATACCTGTAACCGCAACTGTGAAAGAGCATGTCAGATGTATTTGTATGAATATCCTGAAAAAAAATAGATAGGAATTTGTTTGAATTTTGAGCACTCGAGAAATCTAGAAATAACTATGAGTACGGGATTATTGTATCGTGTGATGGTAATAGTTTAAATAACTAGGTGGATTTCACAGGGTCTAACGACACTTAGAGTGTACGATAATTCAAGAAACATAGAAATCTAAAAAAAATAAATAAATTTGGAACGAATATATTGAAGATGAATTTTTAGAGACAAAACGTGACAATCTGGTTCGAGCTGAGGCAGTACAGTATTGGGGGTCATGAAGGCTTGCAAAAAATGTAATAAAATTTGCAGGGTCGTATTTAAAAAAATGAAGTTGATAATGTTCCTGGAGATGACAAACGTTACATATAAAAATTGATTATGCCAAGGCAAAAAGTTGCCATGAAAAAGTACTCTTCTTTTTTCAATATCACCTCAAACAAGGCTGAAATTAAACAAAAACGGATTTCCAATTTTTCAAATATTTCGAAAACTAATGATGTTAGCCTTGATTTTTTAAAGGCATAATGTTGGTCTCCTGATTCCGCAACTTTGCCCCCATTTAAGCTACTTCGTATTTCTAACCGTATCCGAGATCCCTGTAGTTAGAAGCGAATTTGTAACAGCCTCTATTGATTGATGATTCTAAAACTGATTTTAGTAATTTTTTAACTATGTATTTTGAAAAATGGTTTTGATGCAAGTGTCCTGAACCAGATCGATTGATCAATTAGTTACGTAGTTATAGACGATTCAATTTCGAGCAGGCCGAAGCGGCAGCGCTCTCTGCTTCCCCCACCACCACCACCACCCGTACGATTTTATTGAATTTCTCGCTTGCATAAATAACTTTAAACATGTTTTAAAGTAGGTTGCCAATGAAGAAAAGTATTGTAATCTTAGACCTGGTAAATACTCGGAATACCAAAGGTATTTTTCGAAAAATTAGCCCGGATGTCCCAGTACATTTAGTGTAAATGACGGCTATAACTACGTAACTAATTGATCAATCGATCTGTTTTTTTTTAAAAGAAGAGTCTTTCCAAGAACTTTTAAAACCTGCTTTAAAAAATTTGATTTGATTGAATATTCACAAAGTTCTAATTGTTTATAAGTATAAAAATTCGACCAATGTTTATACAAGCGCCAGAGCTCTCCTAATTGACGGATTCGAATTTTTCAAAAAAAGTTTGAAAGCCTGAGAGCCCTTCTATATGTGATTAAATTTTCAAGTATCTAAGGGCCTTGGTTTTTGCTGTGCAAAATTTTGAAAATTTGCAATTTTTCTTTTTAATCTGGATTGCAAAATTATTATGCAAAATCTATCGAACCGATTTTGATGAAATTTGGTGTAATGATTCAACATAACATGAAGTTTTCTTGAGCCAAGTATAAAGGTCCTGCACCCAATTTAAATACACCAAAAAAATTCCCTAAAAAGTATTGTTTTTTAACCCCATTTTTGTGATTTTTTCGATTTTTACCATAATAATCATGATTCATTCGATTTGTATCCAGTCATGTATTGTAAAAAATTTAATTACAAACATTTTTTTCCTCTACTATTTTCGCCTAAAATCAACTCTTAAAAAGATACATAATTAAATAGGAAGAAAAATATGACATTTTTCCAATTTTTTTAACATATTGTGCCGTCAAAAGTTAAGCCCACGTTTTTTTTATGCGCATAGAAAAATTTGCATTTCTAGTGATATTTGAAAGCCAAAAAGCCAAAAATCTCCGTGGATATACGATTCACCCAAACCAAAACAGATACCGCCTGGTCTAATTCTAAATCTCGTTTTAATAACATTGGTACCGACGCTTCATTTCGTTATATCTTTTTGAAATCTTTCTCCTTGCGCCTCAATGTAATCACCCAAATATTAAAGAAGCAAATGAAATTTGACAACGATTTTGTAGAAAAATATATTTACCTCATTTATTTTACTTATCCTCAAAAAATTGCTATTTCGTTTTGCAATTTTCATACTCGGATATGTCTCCATTTACGAGATATTTATCTTTCGGGGAATATTTTAGATAAGAATTTTATTAAGAAGGAATGTCAGTTGTGAATTAATCAAGATTAAGATTACTTTTACATATTAAAATATAGAGCCTTCATAAATGTTTACAAGCCACACGATCGCCCAGCAACCAACATTGCAAGACTGGTACTTGTAACGCAAAATCCCTAAATTTTAATGATTTGTTTAGAATGAACAATAACATACCGTTACGTCTACACTGGAGGTAACACAATCGCTGATTGATTGAATAAAATAGAATGTTGTGTTTTAATGTAATCTTGATCTTATTGTTTTAATAATTTTTAATTTTACCGAAATTTAATTACCAACGCCAGACAATAAAATTACTCTTTCGAACACAATTAGTAGTCACGTGGCTTGTAATCATTTATGAAGGATCTGTAGTTAAAACAATTAGTAACTTATTGTTTTAAATAAAACTAAGTTTCCTGTATCCGTAATATTAATGCAACAATAATAATTTTTATTACAAAAAATGAACGAATAATAATTATTAAAAATAAAATAATGTGTTTTTAATTGTTGTTCTGACATTAAGGTGCCAATTATTTTGTTTCCAGTTGTCGATGTTTACTCGGAGTGGTGCGGCCCATGTCAGGGAATGGCGGCCAATTTGAAAAAAATTAAACTAGAAATCGGTGGAGACATGCTCCATTTAGCGACAGTAATTCAATTCAAAGCAAGCTTGAAATATTTAAAAACCTTTTATATTCCAGGCCAAAAGTGACTACATCGAAGATCTCAAAAGGTTCAGAAACAGAAGTGAGCCGACATGGATGTTCATATCTGTAAGTACGAGCTCGAATTCCTTTTTCGGAAAGTAAAATTTATTCATCGTTTACTGGATGTTACAATAAAGTTCGCTGCTGAACACCATTGTATTTTGAAACAGATATTGTGGAATGATCTCAGAACTACTACTCCTGATATCAGCAAAATACCTTTCTTTCAATATTTCTTCAATATCTGACAAAAAAAAAGTCGCCGGGATGAAAAATAAATAACATGAAAATATAACTTTCGAGAGTAACCTCGAACTAGAAAAATTAAAAAAGCTCCAGTACAATCCGAGAAAACATAAATTGAAAATGGGGCACTCGTTTTTTTTGTAGGTCTTTGTAGTGGTGCACCGCTCGCCTAATACAGCAAGCGCGTTGTTATGAGACGAGTCTTTACCATCTTTTCAACCAACCTTTCCAATGCTCCCAAAAAGCAAAGCTTCTAGTCTAAATAATAAATTACAGTGTAGTACTGGAAAAGTAATATTTTTCTTTACTCATTTCCTTTAATCTCATACTTATTTCTAGTACAAGGTCATTCAGAGAATATTCTTAACTGTTTGTCTTTGTGTCTGAAAATACCAAAGTTTTAGGAAATTTTCTTGCGATTTTAAAGCAATACATAAAAGACAATTGAATGTTGCACTTCAAAGATATAAAAATTTAGTAAATCTATACAGGGTGATTCACCTTATCTAAAAAGAAATTTTTAAATGTACTTACAAGTAAAATTTTGTAAAAAAAAAAGGGCAGTTCGAAAATGATTTAAAAATGCACCTCTGCATGGCACTGGAAACTGACGATCGGTACGGCGGCAAAGTGTAATAAAAAAATCAACTGCTTTTTCCGCTATTGTAATTATTAATTAACAAAATTAATTTGTGGTTTTAATTATCAAAATAATTTGACATATCTGATGTTATAACAACTTTTCAAAATTTTATCCACCGACATTTGAGCCCGTCTTACCCAGTGTCTACGAACTAACACAAATGTTGTCTTGCTTCGCAATAACACAAATGCTTTACCATAACACAAATGTTGTCTTGGTTCACCATAAATTAAAACTATATCCATCAACTTCGAGTTGCTATACACGTAAGCCATTTTTGACACTTGAAAAACTAATGTAAACACTATCGCAAAACCGTTAATACTAAAATCGGATTTCAGTTCAGTATTCGGAATCGCCTGAGGCACGTGGAGAGAGAGCGCATTGCGTACAGCGTACAACGGGAATGACACTAGATACTACAGTAGCCCAGCGATGTAAGAGTTGAAAATACTACAATAATTTTTTTCTCAAAAACTATAAGGATCTTACACAAATTTCGGCCGATATCGGCCCCATTATTCATGACGCATCTATTCCCAATTTTTTTTGGATAAGCTGTGAATCACCCTGTATATTATATTTCTCTTCATCTCTTTTTTTATTACAGTGATACCTATTTGCCATACCTATATTTACTTTGATTCTTGCACAATATTTTGGTTTATTTACTGATCCTGCACATAATCAAGGTTGGCATGGAACCACTGCGTAGTTATGTTTTTCGCTGTTAAATTTACTAAACAAATCTTTAAATTTTCTATTAAGAAAAACAATATTTTTATAAAATGTGTTTTATACCTACATCCTGTTCTAGATAAAGAACATATATGTATTGCATGCAAGTTTTTGGATACCTTTTTACCCACCCTACTGATTCGTTCAATATTTTTCCGTGCAGTGATAGGGCAGAAGCCTTGAATTCGACGATTCCACAATATCCACTAATTCATTGTTCTGGAAACTAACATCAATACACCAACTGAAACTACCGATTGTCATTTATAAAACAGTTTCATTAATGCCGTTGTGTAAAGCCTTAAACATTTTTTTGTCCACGATGGTACTAAGATGATTATAATATTCTGCAATAAAGAATACAACACTTCTACTGCAATAAGTTCTCGTGATCTATAGGAATTTTTAGTTATGACTAAATATGCTCAAGGGGTTAAAATGCAAATTCAGCCAGTGTTTTTATTATTTCTAGAAAATACAACTGGAATCTTGCCAGGAACGTCCAACAGTACCACCTTTAAAGATCCATTCGTCAAGGAAAACGAACTGGCATATGTCTTCTTTTTTAAATCTAATGAATTGATGTAAAAAAATGTATATGCTTCATTGCAATGATGGATAGCTCTATTAGTCCACGACGTGGATATTTAAAATCGGTTGAATCTTCCATAGCCATGTTATGAAGAGATCTCGTTCCTGAAGTTTTTCTAGCAATGTTTTCAAAGAAATATGTTTCTCTAAAATAATATCAACTTTCATATAAAAATAATACTATATTATTCATATTAATAATATAATTAACTGCCTCTATACATTTCATAAATAACATTCCAAATTGCAATTTTGTTAAAATCATCAACATCTACAACTCGTTGTTACCGTTGACGTTTCTTTTGTAGTCTTCTAGGTGTTTCATCTATTTTATGCTTAGCTACAACATAATTTACTGTAGAAACACTCAGATGTAAGACCTCTGCAACTCTCCGGAGCAAAGAATATTATGATTCGCCATTTTATCAAACAATTTTATTTATATCTAACAATTTTATCTAACAATTTTGACATGAAATTTAAATATTGTTAATAATATTTAATACACAGTTCAAGAGTGACCCTCCAATTTCGCGTTCCTGTTCAAAATATATTAAATATTAAAATATTAAAAACTCCGCCATTGCTTGAGCATCACTCGATAAAGGTAACATGTCAATGCAACACACTGTTAAATTTATTAGTTGTGAAAATAACTTTTTAGTCGCTTTCAATCGATTACACTTAATTACTAAATGTGACGTCATTGCAAATTTACCGTAAAAAGAATTTACCTTTGTGAAAATATTTGTATTTTTGAATATTTCAGAATAAAAAGATGGTCAATCTCATGTTTGGAGCGGATGCTCCAAAACTGACGCGTCTTCTAATAGAAGAACTGAAACTGCAAACCTTGGCAGCAAACGGCGAACAAGAGCGATCTGCAGTGATGAAGATCACTGACCTAGCAGAAGAGGAACAGGTCCGGCACGAAGCTGCCGAGAACATCGCCAGAGCGGCGAAGGAAAAAGAAGAAGCCAAAAAGGCGAAAGAACTACTCGAGAGAAAAACATTAGAATGCACGAATATACTGCACCATCTTCCCAACACGGGAGTTATTTTGATTTTTCCTCATGCAAGAGATAAATATCAAGAGGTACTTCTTGATTTGCTAAGCGAAGCCAGTTTGGCCATTCAACACACGGAAAAGGTATCTAGTTATTAAGGTGATTCTATCTGATACCAGTTTAAAATAAAAAAAGTGGTATTTCTTTTGAAAATCTACCAAGATAAACGTTACAACGTGATCACTTTAGTGCATATCGCCTTATGTATGCATACTGATTTTCATTACTAATGTTCAACAATAAAAAAGATATGGAAGAAATAAGAAAAGCCAATATTTCAGTTTTTTCAGCTTATTTTAGGAACGGTTATGTCCAATTTATTTTCATAATCCGAAATGGCAACTTTCTTGTAATTTAACCAACCCTTTAAATATTTTAGTTCAGGATATACTAATGGTGTACACTTTAAAAATGACTACCCTGTATGTGTTTATTGGTTCTGACAATATACGGGCCTTGAGCAAAAAAAGGCACGATTTAAATCTCAGACTTCGGCTGGCTCTTCTTGTGGCTCGAAAGATTAATGGCGTTCGTTCGCAAACGAACAGTTTTGATGGCATAATACTGAATGAAAAATAAAAAGCATGTGGTAAACTTTACATAGTTCATTCCCCCCAAAAACTACTCTGTTTAATCAGTCCTCCTTCAGATCAATATTGATTTGGTCAAATTCTCTTAACCCCAAAACTTTAGTTCAAATTTTTGCCCTTGCGAATAAAACAAATTTAAAGTTATTGAGGTATATTTTAATACGTTCAACTTAATACTGATTAGTAGAACACTCATTATTAATTGTTGTAAATGAAATGGTATTCAGATATATTTTGATTCGTACAACAAAATACTATTTCGGAAAATGCTCTTCATTAAATGTAGTCCTAAATTGCAGAAAAATGACTTGTTGCGGAAAAAAGATACCATTATTTTCCCTTTACTATAAAAAAATATATGTATACAGGGTGTGTCACTTAACGCTCCTAATGGCCTTTTCATAGCGCTGTGTACATTCACATTTTTTTTGTGTTCGCTTACTGTTTATCAGACTGGTAACTGTAATTGTTTCTTGATAAGAATAATGCTACTTATCTCTTTCCATACATGTTTTTAATATATTTTTTTAACTTTTTACACATTTAAATAAACACTATGGAAAGACAGTAATTAAGCTGTCCTACATCTATACCTTAACCGAAAGTAAATTAAATTCTGCGATTTTTAATAAGGTGTCCTACAAATCGTCGTCTTTTTAGAAATAATGTAGTTTTAAACAATTCAAAGTATGAAATGTCAATAACGTTGATTTTATACAAATGCCATGAACAAAAACGTATTTTATTTTTGCTTTGTATTTAATTTTTAATATATGTTTTTCTTTCATTTTAAGTGTTACATAATATCCTATTATATTAAAAACAATATAAAACTAATTCAAAACGTAAATTATTTAATAATATAACACAAAAAGACCTTTATTTTTTGTAATAAAATTATTTTCACTATAAATGTTTGGAATGATATTTGTGTCGCGTTATAAGGCGTTTTATTCGAACAGGATTTGATTCACTTTTGGTTAAACGAGGAAGTGCACAATAGTTTGGTTATTGCTCCAAATTTAATTCTTTATATAACACACAATTTCTCTGGATCTGAAATAATATAATTAATATTTAGATATTTATATGCTATCCAATTGATAGAGCGTTATTTGAAGCAAGCAAATAATGTTTTTAAAATGTATTTAAAAAATCACCTCTTTTATATGAGATTCCTTTCTAAGATTTCTAAAAAACTGACTCTAGACCTGTACTTCTGCGTTTACAGGATTCTAAATTGGGTCGTTCTTTGCAAAACACCATTAACTAAATAAAGTTTTCAGAAACATATACATACTTAATAATTTTGCACAGCAAGTCATATTTCCTATCGAATGTTTTTCTGAATTTCTATTCAAGATATTTTGATTTTTTTTTTTTTCTGATGAGGTATTTTCAGCAATATTTTCATATTTAATAAAATGTCTTTTACAATGTATATTATTGAAATATTTTTAATTCTACGTTCACTGACTTGTCACCTGTGACGGTTTAATTACGTTTCGGATACATTTATTTATTCATCAGGAGTTTTTACGGTCTATATTTAAAAATGTATGTTGGATTAGTACATTATCTAATGCCAAATACAGCTCATAGTGTTTGAACTGTTTTTATAATTCAAATAATAAATAATATTTTTATAATAGGTACGTACTTATATTCTTTAAGAAATTGATTTTGAAATATGATGCCTCTGCGTACGTGCCAAATAGTTGAACTAAATCCACACTATTGCTCGGTCGGAATTTCTTCGGTTAAGTCTTCAGTTCGCTAAACAGATTTTCAAAGATTTATCAGCTTAGTCTTTCCCGCTCACAATTTCAATATTTGTTTTGTTCCTATTGTTTTAAAACCTAAACCTAAAAGACTTCATGCTTTTTTATTAATTTTTGTTATTTATCCAGATCAGAAGTCATTGCGATCTTGCATCAAAATTATTTGGCACACCAATATTGGTATCTCGGTATTGAAATTTTAAAACCTGCCCAATATTCCTATCAGCTGACTAGGCTGACCAATAAAATATTTGATCACTGAGCGAGTTTGATTTGCTGAAAACGGCCTTAATCTTATTTGTTTTAACTATTGACAGTTTTTATCTGTTACAAGTAACTAAAACTACTGGATAAATATTGAAACTATTTTAAATGTTTTAGACTAATTCAAACAAATTCAAAAAGTGTTTTCTAAAATATCTTGTCAAGTGAAGTTAAACAATGTTTTTCGGTATCAGAAATCTAGGTATGCAAAACATATCTAAACCCACAAACAAGAGTCGTATTGTGGGAAACAAGTACTATATGTGAGCTATATACCCCAACTAGCATTTAATTACACCACGACAATACCTAATAAACAGCTACGAGGATTGCCTTTTATATTTCGGAATTAAACAACAAAAAAAAAAGAAATTAGTCGACGTATATGACTTTATTGTTTTTCAAAATATTCTCCATGAAGATCAATACACTTTTGAATGCGCTTGAACCAATTTTCGAAGCACTTTTTCCATTCCCATTGAAGTACCTCCAGAACATGCATTTTGAACACATCAACCGCTTCTTCAAGCGTCAAAAACCGTTGACCTCGTAATTCATTTTTGATGTGCGAGAATAAAAATAAGTCAATTGGTGCCAAATGTACTATACGGCGAATGAAGCATCAATTCGACTTTTCAATTCTCAAAAGTCTCCTATTTGAGACGATGTGTGAGATATCGCATTGGCCTGGTGGAGAACACAACTTCTGTTGGATTTGGCTCATCTTGAAAGACCCATACAGTCGACTGCTGTTTACTACTGCTTACTACATAGTTCCATGATTAGTCACCTGTTACGATGTCGTAGACGTATTTTGAAGCACTGCGATCATATTTTTTGAGCATTTCCTTCGACCAATCGACACAAGCCTTTTTTGAGCGTTTGTCAAATTATGTGAGATCCAACGCGAACAAATTGCCAAATGTTCATGCAATATTGAATGTATACTGGTCCCACTAATGCCCAAGGATGCCTTAATCTTACGATAAGACATATGAGGAGCATGCAATATCAGTTCACACACATCATCAACGTTTTCTGGAAGAACAACCGATTTTGGATGACCTTCACGAAATTCGTCAATGCGTGAACCACGACCACGATTGAATTCCATGTACCACCGATGTCCAGTGGTTTATTGATGGTGCTTCATCGCCAAAAGTTGAATTAAGTTCATCGATACACTGTTGTTGAGTTAATCCACGTCGAAAATTGCAAAAAAATAATCGCATGGAAATATTTACGGCAAATAGCATCTGTATGTATACCGACAAAAAGTTGAATTTTGTTATAGGAACGTCGGTTGTGAGATGGCAGCACCAAGATCATCCATTCCCGAAACATAAAAGCCAACCCCCGTATATGTCGCCAAGGTTTACTTCATTCACAGCGCAAAAGTAATAAAAAAAAATTTCGTTGTTTTCAGTTTTTTAAGATAATTAGAAATATTTATACATATTGATTAAACAGAATTATTATTCAGTAAATTTAATTACAACTAACAACAAATAGAAAAACTAAAATTAATTAATAATAACCAAAGTATTTTCTGTTTTTGTTCTCTCATCATATGTGTCAAAGACGAACACGTAAGAAACGTCCACCACAACGAAATCTTTTTGTTTCCAATTACTTAAGTATTTTGTAGTAGTTGTTTTTTAAATGTTCGTTTACTGGGTATTCAATGTTAATCAGCAGTTAGGAATTATGCCTAAATGGTTAAATATCTTTTGCATACCTAAATTTCTGTATCGAAAAATACTGATTTCATTTGATTAGAATTTTTAGAAAAATTTTTTTTAATTTGTTTGAATTAGCTTTATACCTTTAAAATACAGTAAAAATGTAAGAGCTCCTATTTGATTATATGTTTTTTAAAATGAAGTAAGTATTGAATAACCAGTTCAACAGCCAAAAATGTGATTTACACATTTTATTCAATATTGTATCAACACTCAACAGACATTTTTTTTTGTTAGATAAACATTACGGAAGAAATACTAGATGAATTGTTTTATTTTGTGCAAGAAATAGATAACATAGATGAGGCATCCATCAAAGAACTCCTCGAAAGACCCAGCCTTGGTTTGCTCATACATACATCTCATGGAATAGAAGTAGCCAACATGGACGATGTAATTCTTACCATAGTCTACGGTCCGATGAAGAAATCACCAGGTAGTCCAGATTCTCCCGCTCAGGTTCTTAGAGGTACCATTGACGACGAAGATGGGAAAGCACATGAAGTACTAGGAATCTGGACGCCACATAGCGATTTGGTAAAAGCCACATTTCAGAGACTATTCTTCAATAAAATAACAGCCGATTATCTCATTCCTGAGCCTGAACCTGTTCCCGATCATTTCGCCGTGGTCTTCGATATGTCCAAAGCTAATAACGCTCTTCAAATAGCTCACAAGTATCCAGAGGAAATTTTACGATACGGATATTTCACTAGCGAGGTGCCTGAGGAGGCTGAATTAGTGGCCAAAACACCCCGAAGGCTCGAACATTGCGAAAACAGGACTTTGTGAGTGAAAACAGGTTATAAAATATCAATACACTCCTAATATAAGGACATATGTAACTGTAAGAATAGTTTTAACCGGTCATTCTATAACATGAAACTCAAATAGATTAAAACCAAAGCAAAATCTTGAATTAAAACAAAATACGTACACTAAAAACCCAGACCAAATTTTACCAACTGATGCTATTTATTATAACTGAGATTTAAATAGTGACAAACGCAATAAATGTGAGGTCCCTGTGCTCCACAATAGCACGTTGTGATACTTGTATCATCTTTTACTCCTTTCACCTCGTACCGGCATATCTTCTCGCTTGTCCAATATATACTTTTCTTCATGTGCATGGAATGCTACATAAACCGTAGCTTTGTAGTAAATCGTTTTTGTAGCTCGTATTAATTTTGTGGATTCTTAAGAGGCAGCATGTCTGTTCGGTTACCAAATATTCCACCTTTTCCTTGTTCTGATATTCTTCTGTTAGCTTGTTCCATATTTCTCTCATATACAGGGTGATACATTAACAATGGGAAAATTGGAAGCTGAAGATACTACACGGGAAATGGTCACCATTGGCGCAAACATGCCTTATCCGAAAGTTGATGGTTTCGGAAATACAGGGTGCTGAAAGTTAAAATTTTAAATCGTTTTTTGCGATTATTCTGAAAATATGTAGGTTAGGAACTTGAAAATTTGTGAAACTATATTTTTTTAGGCGACGAATAAAATGCGTGTTGTAATTTCAACATTGCTCATAGAGGGCGCCACTTACGACCAATTTTACCGAAAATTTAGTTAATAACTTTTTACCCTCTATGTCTAACATGAAACTCGATTCAAAACCTGAAGGAGCAATCATTTTTCCATTAATTATGAAACTCTTGTTTCATTTCGGTATCTCGATCCGTCTTCGAGAAAAATCGATTTAACGAACACTATGATTTGATAATACGAGAAATTAAAAGCGAAACAAACCAAGTGTTTCTTCGTGTTATTACAACAATTAACAATAAAGCAAATGAAATTCGTAATAATGATTTAAAGTCAGTGTTCGAAGAATCCACCGTTGACATTTACACACTTTACACAACGTTTTCTGAGAGATCTTCGAGTTTGAAACAACATATTGGGATTGCGTTTGACTTCGTTGGCAGCGATTTGTATTTTTTGCCACAACTCTTCACACGAACCAATAGATTCTTCCAAATAGAAAAATGAAGAGGATTGAAGTCCGGACTTCTGGGTGGCCAAGTAAAAATGCTTCCACACCTTGAAGAAGTTCCACTTTATTTATGAAGAGACATGTAGTTCATGCACAACAGAGCTCCACCGCATTTTTCTTGGCCAGTGCGTGCATATTTAGATGCAGTTTTTCCAAATCACTGGATTGGCCATGTAAGCATTTTTGCTTGGCCATCCAAAAGTCGGGACTTCCGTCCTCTTGATTTTTCTATTTGCTCTCGATTGAAAGATATAGTTTACAAAGAATCTATTGGCTCGCGTGAAGAGTTGTGGCAAAGAATACAAATCGCTGCCAACGAAGTCAGACACAATCCCAATATGTTGATTCAAACTCGAAAATCTCTCAAAAAACGTGTAAAGTGTATCAATGTCAACGGTGGATTCTTCGAACAATTACTTTAAATCATAATTACATATTTTATTTGTTTTATTGTTAATTGTTGTAATAACAAGACACTTGGTTTGTTTCGCTTTTAAATCTCATATTATCAAAACATAGTATTCGTTAAATCGATTTTTCTCGAAAAAAATTAATGGAAAAATGATTGCTCTTTCAGGTTTTGAATCTAAAAAAATATAGTTTCACAAATTTTCAAGTTCCTAACCTACATATTTTCAGAATAATCGCAAAAAAACGATTTAAAATTTTAACATCCAACATTCTGTATTTCCGAACCTATCAACTTTCGGATAAGGCATGTTTGCGCCAATAGTCACCATTTCACGTGTAGTATCTTCAGCTCTCGACTTTCCCATTGTTAATAAATCACCCTGTATATCTCCTTGCTCTAAGAGCAGATTGTAAATGCTATAACTTCTAGACCAAACGTTCTGTTAACCTTATTTCTAGACTGAGTGAGAGTCAGTTGCTTTCAGATATGTATTTCCTTGTTTGTTCGCTTTCTGTAAACGTACAAGGACGTATAGGAAAAGTAGGGTACCTACCATTTTCTTCCATCTCTATGGTGAAGCTGTTGTCTAGACTCAGTGATATGGTTCATAAATTCTATGTTGTTATATCATGGAGCCAGAAGAGTGTCTTGTAGTTATGGATAAAGATGAACCCATTGTATCATTTGTTCATGAAATTGATCCCTAAAGGAGAAGGTCCATTTGGTGCCAAGCTTAGTAAATTCTCATTGTCTTCTGCTATAACTAGGATATCATTTAAATCTAAGTTGGATTCCCTCAATCTTGCGATAAAATCTCCAACGCTTATCACATGATGTTCTGTTTTTCCTAGATCCTTAGATCTTTAATTAATGTGACACATATCTGCCGAATAGATGATGGCTGACTGTATTCATTATTGGTTAAAATGAGTTGTGAAACTTTAGAAGGCAATGAGGTTGGGGTGTTCTTGAATTATATGTATTGTTATGGTTATGAATATGTGATTGTATATGCGCCAATCTTTTTATTAGTAGTGATATGTAATTTGTATGTACTTAATATGTTTGTTTAAATGTTTATATTGTAATGTTGGTTGTCTATTTTTCCTTGGCTAGCTCTCGACCCTTCTCAGTAGTGAGTTCAAATGAAGGTGCAAATTCAACAAGAAACCACACAACATACCACACTAAACAAAAGATGTTATTTAGAAATTAATTTATTTATTATATTTTTTTTATATATCAATAAATATCCACTGTGAAATGTCAAATACAATTAAGGAATATTTAGAATTCTCCTACAACACTTTTGTAACACTTTCAAAAAGATTTTATCTAGGTGTATTCAATTTGATTTATTTTTATGTGTTGTTGGTTGCCTACAGTATAAAATTTAAATTTCGATCTTATAATTTCTTATTCAATGTGTTACTGAGCTTATTGCTAATATTAATATCTATTAAATTTTAAAATGGCCCAATTTTGATAATTATTCAAATGGTTAAATCAAATTTATTTGATATGAACATTTAATTATATGAAAATTTTGTGTTGTGACCTTTTTGATTGTATTTTGCAATCTATGTTTGCTAGCTAGCGGTTTCGTATTCGATTTTGGATTACTTTGTGCACAAAAGAGGTACCTTTCTGTAAGTCTTGTTGATATATCAATGGTTGACTGGCTTCCCACGTGTACTCGGACTAGATATTGCTCTGGAATCCTCGTCTTTCTGCTCTCACTAGATTTCCGGAACCTGCGGAAGGTATCCTCGTTTTCTGCTCTCACTGAATATCCGGATTCTGCTGATGGTATCCTCGTCTTTCTGCTCTCACTGGATTTCAGGAACCTGCTGATGGTATCCTCGTCTTTTTTGCTTTCACTGGATTTCCGGAACCTGATGCTGGAATCCTCGTCTTTCTGCCCTCAATGGATTTCCGGAACCTGCTGCTGAAATCCTCTTGGGGTCGGTCCTCTTTAAGCAACTGGACTCTTTGAGGCCGTTTCGTGGCTCAACTTTAACCTTTCTTTCTATTGATTGTCTAACTTTAATTTTCTTACTGTTTTCCAATATACTTATTTCTGTTTGTCTGGTTCTTCCCAATTCACTTCCTTTAACATTCTTCTCTGACAAAAAAACTTTTGGTAACTATTTCTATTTATCTGGTTTTTACCCCTTAACTTCTTTAACACCACTCTCTGACAAAATTTCTCGGTAACTAATTCTATTTAATCTGTTTTTTTTTACCAATTAACTTCTTTAACACCTCTCTCTGACAAAATCTTCTGGTGACTAATCAATAATTTTTCCAATTCTCTTTTTTCTACTCTCTTGATTTTTTTTTCTTTGTTAGGGCCTTTCCACATATATGCCTTTTCTTTTTAAATGCCGTTTTCTTTCTATACTTCACGTCACTTCACTTTATACTTTACAAATTTACAATCCTATTCTAGTTTCTTTAAAAAAATTTTAAATTATGTTTCAAAATATTCTTTACTTCTATATTTGTATTTGACTTTTATATGTAATATTTTATGACTTGTGGATCCAACTTTATTTTGACATTTACCTGACATTTACATTTTATTGATATATAAATTTTACTTTAGGCCTTAATATTTCTTGCAACTTATTTTTCTAACTTATTACTACTATTTAATAAAAGACTGCCATTTTATCTTTCGTTTGATATATGTCACGTGCGATTTCTAATTAATTTTAATTATGTTTTTCCAATAACACCTTTGGCCTGTACTCTATTTGACCAAAATGATAATATTTTTCATACTTAAATCTTCGAAATTTATTCTGTTCTAGTAATCCGACTCTCTGCTAATGATTCATAATACCTATTTAATACTAACAATTTTTTTTTTAATCAAATATTTTTCTCAGTTTTATAACAACTATTTCAACCTTTCTCTTTACCGTGTTGTATTCAAGTAGAATTTTAATTTAACTTTTTAAATTGCTCTCCATACTATGATTTCATCTCAATATATATATATATATTCCATGTCCCTTAACAACCATAATCAGAGTCTGACTTATGTCTAAAAACAAGATATTGCATTTCAAAGACAAATAAGTTATAAATGACTCTAATATTTTCACGTGATGATACTGTACCTACCTAACAAAACCTTTTTATACATTTTTATACCAAGTTTGATTATTAAAACATTCAATGGGACTTTTTCTGTATCTTAACCTAAAACGTTTCTTTTGTAGCAAGGAGAAGTTCGTTCTCGAGGTTACTAAAAGAAGGAGTGAGTGTGTCTTCGAATTCGCCCAGCTCGGGCCGGTTTATATGTCTCCAAATGCGCAAGAAGGAAAACGGGAATGTCAGATATTCTTCCCTGACGATTACAGCGATTCCATTAATGAGGAAGAGGAAGAGGTCGATTTTGAGGCAACCGAAACGAAAGAAGAAGAAGTACAGCAACAGGAGGAAGAAGCCGAAGAGGAGGAGGAAGAAGAGGAAGAAGAAGAAGAAGGCTCTGAAGATGAAGAAGAAGAGGAAGACACGAATGATGTGCAAATGGCAGATTTATTCGATTTTTGAATTTTTGTGCCTAATTGCCCCTAAAAGATATTTATCGCCTGTGATATTTCTTAATATATCTATCAGAATAAATAATTATATTTTAAATAATCAATTATTTTTAAACATATTAAAATTTTTCAATGTCAGTTAACTTATCGCTTTTTAATCACATCAGTGTACCCTAAATATTGTCAACACAGGATTAAATGTTAACCAAATTATTATCGAGCAGGAAATAACATTTAATGTAATCAATTTATTTTCCTTTAGGCAACCAACATTGCGCGGCAAGTACTGTAACTAAAAATACCTAAATTTTAGTGCCACTGGATTTGTTTACAGTGACCAATCATTACGTCTACACTCGAGGTAATGCAATCGCTGATTGGTTGAATAAAAAATTACATTAACCAATAGCCGGTGAACCAAAATGGTGTATTTTAATAATAATGATCATTGACCTAGTCAACTATTATAAGGTCTATGGTTTTAATATAATCTTGATTTTATTGTTTTAAATTTACCGAAATATTACTGGTCACGTGGCTTGTAGTCATTTATGAAGGTTCTAATAGTTATCTGAGAAGATTTCTCTTATCTTTGAATTTCGCTTATTTCGAACCTTAATCTGCATTTAGTATGTTTCTCATTTTATTGAAAATGTAATACAATTCAACAGAGCTCTTTCAAACCAACTCATAACATTGAGTTAAAATATTGTTTAGGAGCTGTAAAAAATACTTGTTGGAAAATATACTCTCTAAAGAATCTTGTATGTAGGCAACCAGTATATCACTAGTGATACAAAGGTAGCTACCTCAAAGTCAGATTTTTTATGAAATGCAGAAAATTGCGGTGAAAGTTATTTACTTATTATTGCGTATTATAGATATTTCTCTTTTTCGTGGCAAAATTTTATATTAATATAAAAAAATTAGAACTGTTATTTGTGAATAACCATCTTTAAAGGTAAACTCATAATATTCCTTCTTTTCTTATTTAGCCATAATTTTACCAATCAATAATGCTAATAAAGGGATTGAAGCTAATCATTATAAAAATAACTACTGTTTGTGAAAGACATGTTGTTTACTTACAATTACTAGAACATACTCATTAGAAGCCTCTAATAAATATAAATTTAAGGCAAATAATAACTTGAGGATGCAATTTTACAGGAAATAAGTACAGATATTTTTAAGTGCTTATTACAAGTTTGATATCAAGAAAAGCAATGATGGAAAATATTACAGTAAAATCAAAATTTTCCTAAGTTCTCAATTTTATTTGCAAGATTTTTAAATATCTTGAGTTTAACGAAATTTTATTTTACATCAGAAATATTAGAGTGACACAATTAGAACGATTTTCTAAGAAGAAAACACAAAGTTTAAAATAATATCTCATTTTATTAATTTTGTTTCGGAATTTTTTAATCAACAATTTGTAGACTAGTATGTTTCATCTTTTCATACTAAACAAGTAGGTATATTTCAAAATAATAATCCAAATATACAACAAAACCATTACAAAAATATACAGGATATTTGGAAAAGTTTGTACAAAATTTAAGGAAAAAATAGTAAAAAAAAGTTACTATAAATATAGTAAAGTAGTCTTATCATTTGGATATTTTTTAAAATAACTTTCTTTCTGATTAAGATAATGGAATGAAAATTGTAGGTAATAATCATACCATAAGGGTCTTTAACTATAATAAGTTTAATCAAAATCGGTTATAAATAAGGATAGTTTCAGAACAGTAACTTTTTCTAAATATTTTCACATAGACGCATATGAATTATTTTCATCTCCTTAAATTTTGTACAAACTTTTCCAAACACCCTGTATATAAATTTTGATTCATAGAAAATATATAAATAGGCACCTATATGTGTATATAAATCTGAATAAAATGGAGAATTAAACTATTATGTTAAATTACATAGTTACTTATAAACACTAGCCTGTAAGCAATATTATATTTTCTTAATTTTACCAAGAATTATAATTTTAATTATTTTTTTATTGACTATGAACATCGCATCGTTTACGAATTCCAATAGAGGAACAAAGAATTTTAATCTATTTAAAACTGTATTGCAATTGTATTTTTACCTATTTTTGTTTTTCAGATAAAAATCAGTTTCGAAGTTTTAGAACAACTACTATATTTCACAGACTATAAAAAGTTTCCAAGTAAAACTGTTGAGGACATCACAAACAACAAGCTATCACTTGCTCTTCTAACGAAGCGTACTTCCGAAAACCTACCGGGAGACATTGATGAAATCGTTCTTCAAGTGGTTTATGGGAATTCACGTAAACCACCTGGTGACGAAAAATCGCCCAGTCAAAAGTTACTGGTAAAAACCGAAGAAAAAGGAGAAAAAGACAAAGGAGAAAACGAGAAGGAAAATGAGGAGTTAGAAGAACAGACGGAAAAAGATACGAAAGAAGACGAAGAAAACATACTAATAGGCATATGGGCCCCACCCAACAATTTAGCTAAGGCAACGGGTTTGAAATATTTGTTTCCTAATATTTCAGGTCCTTTCGTGGGTCCTGAAATTGAAATTCCTCCGCTTTACGTCGCAGTAGGCTACGACGCCTTTAAAGCCAAGGAAGTACTGGAATTATCGGAACAATATCCTGGGAAAGTAATGAGTTACGGATTCTTTACCAGTGATATACCGGCTGAAGCACAACTTATTGCTAAAACATTTGACAAATTTGAAGAGAGGAAACCTCAATCAACTTAGTAAGTACTTATCAAAATATTTGCTGAAAGCATTTGTTGCATTTCTTAATAATTCATTTTTTGGTAGGAGATTATTTTACCACAGTAAAGTGTTTGTGTAATAACGTTTCTTCAAATTTAAATCAGTGCTATTTATAAATCTTCGAAGTAGACAGTGATAGATTAAATATTAAAATGTATGCCATTAGTCTACGAAGGTAGACAAACAAGTATTTTATAATCTCTTATCATTGCTACATTTAACAACTTTAAAAATAAAAAAAACGAAAATGATTTTTAAGTTCGTTTCGATAATAAAAGAGATTATTCTTGATATTACTTTAACAAAAAAAAGTTTAGAAGGTATATTTTAAACAAACTAGTTTTCAGAATATGAGGTGTAAAAGTTCTGTAAATTATCTACGACAGCTGTTGACTGAGTATGCTTACAATTAATTATATCATTCAGCGGGCGGAAATACTAGAAGACGCCGTCAGCAACAACCCCGATTCCTCCATAGTTTTATTTATAGTTAAGTACCCCATTTAGAATTCGAAGCAGTATTTAATTATCTGGTAGTTAATAAGCAACCATAAACAATCGAGGTTAATTGTAGTCATATTAAAATACAAAAATCATTTCAATAATTTGAGGAAAAAACTAAAAAGAAAATCTGAATCAATCAAATATGTTACAGATAAATTAAACAGCTTTTGGTGTTCTTCACTAATTGTCATAGATAACATAAGTAAATTTGCCTTACGTACTATTGATAGGCTAATCAGTGATGTATTCTCCATCGTTATTTGTGACCTCCTCACAACGGTCGACAAGTTTCTCGATCCTTCTTCTGTAGAAATCCTCCGGTTTTGACTCGAAAAACTCATCCAACCAAGTTCTTAATTCACTGTCGTTGTTAAAAGAAACACCGCGTAAGAAGTTTGATAAAGAGCGGAAGAGATGAATATCAAAAAGTGCGAGATCGGGAGAATAAGGCGGGTGGGGAAGAACTTCCAAATTCTACTCCCAATTGGCCGTTTTGTTCATATTAACGATATGTGGTAGCGCAATGTTATGTTGCAAAAGAACGTCGAAACGCCGATCAGGCCTTTTTTGTTGAATAGCTGTCTGGAGTCGCCGTAGTTGCGGGACATAAAGTTCTGCGTTGACGGTTTGATTGTTCGGTAAGAGTTCGTAATAAAGAATCCCTTTCCAATCCCATCAGATGTATAACATTGTCTTTCTAGGATGAAGTTCTGGTCTTATTCACGGAGTTAATATTTTTTTAGGGCTTTATTCTTTCCGCTGTTTCAAGTTCACGTACTGACTCCATTTTTCATCATCAGTGACAATACGATGAAGTATACGTTCCAAAGGTCTTGGATTTTAGTGAGGGAGTCGATTCAGTTGTTTTTCATCAGATTCAATAGGGCGTCCGGAACGATTCATGTCTTTAAAACGCGAAAACCATCAACGGACCGTTCATTCATTCATCGCATGATCACCATATACGGCACAAAGAGTGACCGCTAAGGGGCTTAAATCATCCCCTAAATACGAAAAAAATTAAAAATTACTTGAAAAATCTAGGAAAAAGTATCTACTAGGATATTCTAAATTATTAGAAATTCAAATCGTGTACTTCTCACTAATATCTATAAGAAAATCACCCCTGTAACAAAGGGGTGAACTACCCCCGAACGTGATAACATACGAAAATATCATAGCGATATAAAAAAAACTGTCAAATATTTTATAATAGATCTTACTTTTCTGATCAGAAAGATTAAGCTGACTTGATCTAATTATTCCAAATTTTTTTTTATAAAAATCAACCCACATAGGGGGTGAAATCATCCCCTAAACATAAAAAATATTTGAAAAGTCTTGATTTTTCAAGTAATTTTTTATTTTTCCCGTATTTAGGGGATGACTTAAGCCCCTTAGCGAATTTAAGGGTGGACTTACAACTATATCACGTCCTCATTAATCATGAAAATAAATTATTTCCTATTTGTAAGATTTTATTTTATAGAAAAAATACAATAAGAATTGCTTTTATTCTTATTGATATTATTCATACATTTCAGTTTTGCGTCATCATATCAACCCCTAATTAGGGGTGATTTTCGAAAAACTAAAAAATATGCTCATCTTGATTTTTCATTACCAATAATTTGACATATGCAGAATATTTTTAGGATTTTTTTAAGGTCTCTGGCAAGAGTGAGAAAATAGGCTAAACTATGCTATTTTTGCGGTCACTCTTTCCAAGTGCCAAATGATCAATTTTGTCAACCTGACATTCCATTTCATATTAACGAAAACTCACAAACATTAAATCTAACGAAACAACCAAAAACGCAATTTGATAGAGCAATCAGAAGTCCTCTTTCAAATGATATGTGTCAATTTGTCAATGCGTTTAATATTCATGTGAATTTTTAAATTTCAGTAAAACATTACTTATTCCTAACTCATTATTTTGTTCAATAAAATTTCCCATTTCTTTTTCTTTTTAAGGCATAAAATTTTAATAGCAACTTCTCAATTTATTCTGTGTTTGTAATAGTCAAATTGGACGAAAATCAAGCCAAAATTAAACATAACAGCAACTTGAAGTTTGGAAACATTATCGTTTTTCATGAAAGGGGCAAATGTACCTATTATCAGATTTTAATTTATATGTTGTCTATTTCGGATAGTAAATAACTGTAGAAAAAAATCAACGCCTTTAAAAGGCATATTAGACAATTTATTGTAATTTAGCTTGTCCGTTGGAATGACGACAAGAAATTTAAAATATTATTATAATATATTTAAATAAAATGTATATTTTGTTTTTAAGCGACTTTGTATTAACATTGAAATGACATTTTATTTGAATATGGTAAGATCTTGAATTGATACCTACATTTGTGCATGGCTGATCAGACTACAACGCAGTAACGTAAATACATATTTATAACAATTTGACGAGAATATATTCGTAATTGAAGTTCATGAGCTTTTGATATCGATTTTTTGCTTTCCAGACCAAATTTGAAATATGTTACCTCGAAATTTCGAAACAGTTATATAATATCATCCCACTTATTTTGTTTACGCCATGTTTACCTAAAGTTATTTAACATCTTTTGGTTGCCAAATTTTGTGCCACATCGGCGGATTTAATTTCTCTTGATAACCAAGAAAGAAAAAAATGCTGTTCTTTCTTACTATTAATTTCACTGGTATAAATGAACTCATATGACACAATTTTATTCAATTTGGACGAGCCTTGACCCCAACATCTCTGAACACTCGTTTAATAAATTCACAAATTAAGTATTATTTATAATCAATAAAGTTGTCTTGTTTCTGATTATCTCATGAATGAAATATGTTTTAGATATTTTTTTAATCGGACAAATAAAATATGGCTCATAATGTAACAAAAGTACATTAAGTTTCACAAATCAATTATTAATATTATTTCTGGTGACCACAAAACACTTATTAATTTTTTTTATTATCTTAATTTTATACGCAGTATGATTCACTTAAAAACGGAAGTCTCGAAAACGATAAGAGATGGAAAGTTATTTATATTCCAATTTTTTTGTAACCATAAATATTAAAAACTTTAAATTATTTAACCTAACCAGATATTACATAATTCAACATCATCCTTCATTAATTGGTGCCATTACTATTTTTGCTGTTATAGCGTTTTGTTCAAATTTGACCTACAAAGTGATTTTGTTGGGGTTGTTTTTATTTTTTTAATTTTATTTATCAAAAGTAATATTTTGAAAATCATTTACGTCGCAATTATCTCCTTACTACAGAGCTATCATAAATGTTTACAAGTCACGTGATCGCCGAGCTTAGGCAACCAACATTGCAGGACTGAAATATCCAATATTAATGATTCGAACAATGTCACATCTATGCTTGAAATAATGCGATCGCTGATTGGTTGAATAGAATCTCGTGAAAAAATACACCAATCACAGCCAGTGAAGCAGAAGGTTGTGTTTTAATGTAATCTTGATTTTATTTTTTAATAATTGAATCGATTACCTAACTAGAAATACCTCACACCGAGAAAGAAGATATATTTCAAAGTTATACCTACTATAAACACTGTACAACTGGACAAATCTCACTTGAGCCCGGAAATGCTCAAATCAAGATATTTCCCCACTCTTTGCCACTGCGCGTCATACCTTCAGGAATTTGGTATACTAGTACTTAACACATGACAAGTTAGCCTTTCCAAAACTTTCGTCCTTAAAGCTTATTTTAAAAATAACTGACAAAAACTTGTTTAATTTCAATATCTCAAAAATAACTGACAAAAACTTGTTTAATTTCAATATCTCAAAAATAACTGACAAAAACATGTTTAATTTCAATATCTCAAAATGGAATTTATTAGAATCAGTAAAATTTGAACAATATTTTAAGTAAATTAAAAATCTTTTGTTTCATTTGCTTCATTGTTGCAGATTACTTTACCATCCAAGTTTATTTATTTACGCACTATTTTGCACAAAATGAGTTTCACAATTCTTTATTAAATTATTTTTAACTATACTGAAGAATGAAATATCTCACGGTCTACAACCTTCCTTCCTGAGTTCTCATCACTGGACTGTACCTAAATATATACCATTTTAAGTATAATTAGCCAGTTAATTAAATATACCAATAAAATCCCCTTTTACATAACGCGAACATGAAAATTAAATCCACAGACCAGATAAACTCGTGTAATTAGAAGACCATTGGTGAGGTGACAATTTGGCCTTCACCACTGTCTATTTTTAATACTAATTTATTTAAATTTCGACCGTTGGTTGGTCCTAACCATTTCCAGTTTGAAACGATAAGTTAACAAGGTTAACAAAAAGGAAATGTGTTAAACTTTAACAAGCAGGTGTTTTCGTGATATGCAAATTGAACTTGCCGGTTGACAAGTTTTGTGAACTATAGTCTTTTTAGGCGTAGGTAATCTGTGTTTCAATTTTACCACTAAAAGCCGGCACTAATAAAATGTTTGATAAACAGAAACATAATTTGATAGGTAGGATAATTTATTACTTACTGTGAGATAAATATATGACCAAATTATTTTGAATTATGAAGAAATTATTCTACCTCTTTAAATTAAAAATAGAATTATTTATAATTTATTTACCTTATCTACCACTTTATTTTTTTAAGAAAAACAAAAAGAAAATATAATTTTTTATTTTTTTAAATCATACTTTAATGCGAAAATTCCATTCAGGTTCAATTGTTTTAAATAGAAAAAGGTACTATCATGGATTTACATTATCCGTTGGCATGTCTAAATCGTGGCCCCACGTTGGGTGCCATATCCTGTAATGTGAGTGCTTGTATCCCTCGGAGGTGTATTAAGGTGGTCTCGCACCTCCATACCACTCATACAAAGTTATGTGACGGTACCTCGGTCCTCAGTTTTCACCTGCAGTGACGGGAGGTTAGTTGCCTGCTGGCCAGTGAAGGGATGACTGAGATGATCTGACGTCAACCGCAACGGAAGCTTGGATTAGAGTACGCCGACGTTGTTCCTTCATTGATGACGAGTTGTTTGGCCTTGGATCTCTGGCTCTAATGTTCGTACTTAAAACGCACTTACTCTCTTCGAAATGCTGCAGTTTTTGTGTTTGTGTGAGACTTTCGACTAAGCCCTCTTCTATTATATTTGGTCCTTTTGGTTTTAGCACTGGCAAATTTAAGACTTTGGTGTCTTTTTATCACTGTATTTTGGCTTGGCTGGAGAATTTTTTGTTTATGGGACCTCCTGAGAATACCTGATTTGGAAGCTTTCAGTGTAGTGTGAAGCTTCCCTAGAGTGCGTTGTATGGAATCTATAAGAGCTTGTATCAATAGTACTTTCATCGCAACATCAGAAACCCCTGAACTGTTTAAGCTGCGAGAGCTGTCAAAGTTATTAAAACGAAAAGTCAAAAAAATGTTGAGAAGACGAAAACAGTAGATTTTCAAAACGGTAACGACCTTTTTAAAGTGCGCGATATTGTGATGTGTTTTTGTATTTTGTATTTGTCTGCTTCTTTCAGTGTGAGATTTTTTGATTAGGCAAAACTGTTTTCATAAAAATAACCCTTGACTGATCCATTTGGCGCAAAGGTTTATTTCGCTAATTTTTTAATTTTTTTCACAGGTGACAAAATACCCAAAAAATAAAGAAAAAAAACCAAAACTATGCCGCAAACTTCAGACAATAGTTGGGAAAGCGTAGAACTCGTAAATTTTTTTGTGCGAAATTTTTAACTCAGTTTTGTATTTGTAAAAATTGTGAGATTTATTGACACTTTTGCATAAGTTACAGTACATGAAAGCAATAATAAGTAATATCTTGCAATGCAAAAGCAAAAATTTGGAGCGTATTAGGGCGCTAGCTTATTAGCTGCAGGGTACTGGAGTTGATGTTCGAACACACTTCAGGCTGCGTCCGCGAGGGTCCAGAAGTAACGCCCGCATTGAGTTTGGAAAATTGACCTCCTTGAAAAGCTCCCATCTCGCAATGGTAGCCATCTCCGAAGAGTTATGGAACTAAAAATGATTTTGGTTAGTGGTGACTATAAAACCTTGCTACAGTTTAAATTTCATAAAATTCGTAATAATATTATTTTCCAAAAATCCGTAACTTTACTGAAACTTTTCACGCTGGCCCAACATCTGCTACGGCTGATACTCCTTCGTTGGGGAATTTTAGAAAAATTTCCAAACAAGAGTCAATTTTTGTTTTTCCACTATGCGCCTTCCTATGTGCGTCGTAAGAGGTCATCTGTGATTTCTTGCCCATAGTCTCTTACATTTTCCCACGGTTTATGTCCCGTGATGGTTTTTTGAAGATTTATTGATTTTTTTTTTGAAAATCGGTGGAAATTCGAAATCCGCTCGAGACTCGTATTACAATACTTATCGAATAACATCTAGTTTTAAATGGATTAAAACTACCTAATCAACGATGTAAATTTTTGTAATATTTTTAAATAAACTTGAATCTTTTCATGTTTTTTATTTTTATTTAGGTATGTGAACACTTATTAAATAAAAAATCGTCATTCGTATTTTGCCAAAATAAAGTCTATTTTATAGATAATTTTAAGCTCTTTCAGATAGAGACCCTTTGATATTATTTGCTATTTGAATATTTCACTGCTCAAATTATAATAAATTACAAAAATATTCTAACTACTAATCAAACGCAGTTTTCCAGGATTTGAGCTAATAATCTACTTATACACTGTACTGTAATATATAGCATAATACTGTTTTATCGGCATGTTATAAACTTTGTAATCAACAATTAACTTTTACTGGAAATGTCAACTTAAATTATCTTCATTTAAAAACATAACTACATGTTTCGAGAATTACGTTTAAAAGTACTATTATATTACATCATTTTTAATAAAAATATTTGTATACTAAAAACAAAATTAAAAAAAAGTAATTCTTTTACATATCTCCTTATAATAGTTATTTTCAACGATTAATAAATTCGCGTAGGTATTCCTAAACGCATAGAGCTGTCAGTTAGTGGTTACTAGTCAGAATTTACTAATAAATAGTAGCATAATAACGAACGATTCAGTTCTTGTTATTCACTACTTAAAAAATCAAAACATGTGATAACAGTATATATGGATTCGATCATCAAATCATGTGACAGTAAACAATTTAAATTTAAATTTATGCGGAATCTTTCACATATTCTATTTAACACGCTACAATTCGATGAAGCAATTTATTAAAGTCGATAAATAAAACTGAAGATATAGTTAATATTTGCATTCGGGACTCTGTTTTTATTTTGCCAAATCCAATCCAAACAACTTTTGTTTTGGACTGGAGGTTATTAAGTATTCAAACTCGATTTTGTTTATTCAATTTTAATGTTAAATGTCCACTAGCCGCATGATAATATGCACCCGTCATGCGTCTATATTTAGTAGCAGACGGGAATGGTTTTTAATTTTGAGACTCGCACTGTCAAGGACGGATTATGCTGTGAACAAATGCGATTATCAAATTCTGCCCCCCAAATTATGCACGCACGTCTTCTATGTAATTTCTTATCTTTCAAGAAAGCCAAGAAATCACAAATTATGTCTATAATTAATTAGGTATTTGATGTGTATATTATTTCCCTTTTGCTAAACAAAACTTTTTGGTATCATTTCGTTACAGAGATTTATTTTAATGATTCTCTTCTTTCAACTTCTCATATAAAAACGTTAACTTCCGTTCTTGGAATCAAACACTAGTTAGAATTGCAAAATCGTGGCATTGACGATTTGCCAAAAATGATAAAATTGTTTCACATATTCAGTATTATTTCTAGGTTCTATGACACTTATTTTCATTGGCAATACTCCAATATATTGAGTTTTAAATAAATCATTACCGTTCAATTTTATAAGAATTTATCTGATACAATTGACTGAAAATATCATTTGTAAATGTGTGAAAATTCATTTAATCGTCAAATATCGAGCACCTATTGAAGTATAGAAGTACTTTTCTTAAATAGCTGCATTATTAACCTTTTATATAACTTTTAGAACATTATGAAAAAATATACAGTGTGAGATTTATTGTATATTATAAAAGATGTTTGTAAATTAGTGCGAAATATTTTACGGGGTGATTGCCGAAGTTATTTTGTGAAAAAAGTTCATATAAACATACAGAGTGTTTAAATTTTAATTTTTTATTAAGTATTAATTATTTCAAAGAGTTTTAAGGATATTGGCTGGAAATTTGAAAAACGCTTTGTAGGGATAAATGTGCATTGTATGGAAGAACGAGAGCTCATCACATTCTGCTTCAATTTCTCGAATTGAAATATGTGGATTATTAAGCACACTTCCCAAAACACTAAACAATGCGCTCTTCATCAGTAGCAGTCTTTCTTTTGAAAACAATTTGTTTTTTTGGGAAGGCCCCACATGTCGCCAAATTTGAAGTCAGACGTGTAAAGTACATAGCACTTGGCATACAACTGTCAGAATACCGCTCTCCGTAAACATGGAAAGCATCACGCTTATTTTTTTTTAATTCCCCATAAATTAGGACCATATCCAACTTTTCCTGATTCGTAAAATCGTCGTTCGAAGCAATTTATTAATATACATTTCATGAACTGTCAAAGTAAAAAATCGAATTTATTCCAACAATTTCAAAGCCTGCTTTAGTGTTCTTTGGTAAATCGCTTTGATTTCTATAATCCCAATTTTGGAAACATTTAAAATGCAATTTCACTTCTGTTTTGGAGTCTAAATACAAAATGTATACTTCACGAAAAAAGAATTTTTTTGTAGAATTCAAATTTTAAAAAAGATACAGGGTGTCATTTAAAATAAAAAAGTTACGATTGTTCCCGCATAAACCGGAAGTGAAAAAATGATAGTGCTGTACAACAAAATATTTTTTTATTTTATATGACACATTTCACAAAAAGAATAATAAATATAGTATATCTATACCTAAACTCTATCAGATATATTTGATGTTTTTATAAAAAAAATATTATATACATACGTACCTATGCATGGTCTACTATAAGCAGTTTTTCTATTTCCATTTTCAGAAAATAATAAATAAATTATGCAATTAAACAACTTACTTTTGTTCATAATTTTAAAATCTCACAATGAGATGAAATATTCGCATATCCCTATAAAAACACTTTTCCGAATGAATTGACGAAAAATTATCTTCTTTTGTTTTCAAAATCATCAATTTTTTTACTAAAATAGCAAATGTGATAGCTTAGAATTTGTTTATCTAGTTTCATGTACAAATTATTAATACTACTTTTTTAATTTATCTAATTTACAGTCTGGTAAATTATAAAAAAAAATAAAATTTTCTACTGAAATGTCACAAATTTTAGGCAATATGAGTCATTTAAAGTAAGGTACTTGAGGCATATAAGGCCTATTTAACTTGAATATGCAATAAATAGTATATTTAATGTTTATAAAGACAAAGTCATGTTTTCTACAAAGTTTATTAATTTGAGATATCACAAAATCAATAGTACAAGAGACAATCGTTTTAAAAACATTTAACTTTTCAAAAACTCTTTTTCTATGCCTGATTAGGCCAACATGGTATAATAAGGCCTTCGTGTGAACCTGCAGTTTTTCGCAACTTATCTTCACAATAACTCCTTAAAAACATCCTTAAATTAGAAAAAAATAAATAAATATAAAACTTTTATTACACATTTCCCTTAATAATTAACGTGGACCTTTTAACCCCTGGGGAGGTAAAAAGGCTACTCAAAAAGTTTAATTAAGTACTCTCTAAAGCAACTGAGGTACACCAAACTTTTCTTTAAAAAAAATATGAAAACTTCTTTTTCGATAACAAAAAAAATTAATGAGACTACTTTTTCTTTAATTCAAAAAAATAATGCCTAATTCGTTTTTTATAAAAATAGTAAATGAGACTTCTCTGTCTTCTACTAAAACTAAATTAGACTTCTCTTAACTAAACTAATCGCATGTGTGCGTGAAGAGTGACGTTTCATCAAATTATTTTAGCGCGAATTTTTTAATGTGGGCCTTATTTGCCTCAGGTACCTTAGTTTGTTGAAATACAGGATTATCTCGACATCCTGTATATCCATTAATGGTATTAAATAAAGTGAAAAGCAAATGTACGCAACTATATCCAATAAATTATTTGCGTTGTTAAAAAACAAAGAGACTGTAAAAGATACCCATTAAAAATTCATCGTCTATACCGAGGTATATACTATAAATTGTCAATAACAAAGTGGAGTTAGGTGTAGTTTACTATAATATTGATTACTCGTGAAATTTTGAGAAGAGATGGTGATAATTATTGCATTGTTCACTGATTAAACAAGACAATTATTTAATTATAACATCATTAATACTGACCTCTAAGATAAAATGCGTAAAAATTTTATACTTAATTGAAATTTTAAGTATCATATTTCCTTATTTTTTACATAATAAATGATATTATTTAAGTCGTATATACAAATCATTACACTGCAAAATTTACTTTAAAAACGTTCTGAAATGTATCCTTTGTTTGTAGTAACACGTAAAATTGAACTATAGTTCTCGTTACTAACAAAATAAATTTAAAACAACCGTGAAGTGTGGCTTCTCAATCCATTTTTAATCATACCGTACCTTGTATAAATGTCATTTCCAACAGCTTGTCTAATCGCTACATTTAATTTCGTTACTTTCTGTTTTACGGCTGTAATATTCGTATTAATGGTAACCAATATTTAATAACGTTTCCAAATACAATAAATGAGTTACAGTTGCAAAATGTATCAACGGTTTAAAAACCTCAAATTAGTCTCACTAATATTCTGCAGTAAATTTATTCACAATTCATGCTGTATCCTACTTTATACATAGCTAAATCAACAATTAGCGAAATTTTCACATACAGGACCAAATCTTGAGTTTAACATTTATGTGCAGTCACTAATGTAAATAATGGGGTCATTCAGTAAATTTTCAAAAACGTTCTTATTTTGTATACACAAA